ATCAATTGTGATCGGTGCAATTTTTATGAAACTTTATGCATTATCAAATTCACATCACATTTTTTTCATCACATCTTAATCAAATATCAATATATTGCTATCATTTATTCAATTAATAGTTGAATTGAGAAAGAAGAAGGAACATCATTATTGTTATTTGATGATAATTAACATTTGATGCAGTAGTGAATAGTAATAATAATAGTAATTCGTAATAGTTGTAATAATGACTACAAGAACTGGTTCAACAAATGCTACAATGGTTCTTCTTTTCTCCATAATATTTTCAAGTAGTTTGGTCATCTCATTTCATCGTCCACTTAATACCGGATGCAGTAATTCCATGAGAAGATTTGAATGATAAAATGTGGTAGATTGTTTTTAAAAAAAAAGGAAGAAAGGAAAATTATCACTTATGCAAAATAAAATAAAAGAGTGTTAAATTATAATTAACTGGACACATTTTACTTTGATTAATTTGCTTTATTAAAATCATTTCTTAACTAAGGAGCACCCAGAAATGTTATTTCAATCAAATTCACAGCATACAGCAAAAAAAAAGTGGGATTATCTTCGTGTTCCATCTTCGAAAAATATGCCGCCGTCCAATGCACAGTATTTCGGACAAATACCTCGTTCACCTTGTGGTCCTGGTTGACCAGGTACGCCAATTTCACCGTTAGGACCAGCATTACCGGGTGGTCCTGGTGGTCCTGGTGGTCCATTTGCTCCAGGACTTCCTGGTTGTCCATCTCGCCCTGGATTTCCATCTGGTCCAGGTAAACCTGGTGGTCCTGAATTTCATTTTCAATTATTTTATTGCAAAAAAAATGCATTATTGATTTCGGATTTTTTTATAATTACAAGAATAAAATAAACGAAAAATTTCAGATAATCAAAACATGCCTGGTTCACCCGGTTGACCTGGATCGCCTGGAAGTACAGGTGTACTTGATGCTGGCCTGCCTGGTTCGCCTCGCTCGCCATCTGTTCCAGGCTGTCCTGGTGGCCCTGGTGGTCCCACAGGTCCTGGTGGTCCAGCACTGCCTGAATAAATCATTTTTTACTATTAAACTTAATGAAGCACATTCCATTACGTATTCACACTTCCCCATATCGAGTGCAAATAAATCTATTTCAATTAAAAAAACTTTATTTCGAACATCAACTGCTTACTTGTATGTTTAGGAAAATAAAAAACGGAAAAACGAAAAAAAACCAATCGAAATCATACCACTGTTCCCTGGCCTGCCTGGTGGTCCGGCCCTTCCAGGATTCCCTGGATTACCATTAGGTCCTGGCGGTCCAGGTGGTCCTGGTGGGCAAGGATTACATGGCGGAATATCAACCTCTTCGCAAACTATCGGTGGTCGTCCAGGAGCACCTGAAAATTAGTAGTAGAAGAAAATTTTAAAATAAAGATATTGGAAAATTCTGCAAAAACACATTTGAAATAAATATGAAAGATAATACAATAATTATCTGTTACGTATGAAAAAAAAAAATTGTACCAGGCCGTCCTGGAGCTCCTGGTGTGCCTGGTTTTCCATTTGCTCCTGGTGGTCCTGGCCGTCCGGGATGTCCAGGCTTGCAGCAACCTGTAATCTTAGTGAATTAATGCAATTGAGTAATATATATTGAATCATTTAAGCCAAACTAATATAACAAATTAAATTATATGAAAATCTTGAAATTAATAGTTTCAAGAAATGAAAGGAGAAAAAACAACCTTAATGAAATTATAATAAATTGTGGTCCTAATTAATGAATAACCCAAAACCTACTATCACAGGCTCCAATTTGCCTTTTTGTTCTGTTAGTTGCAGCAATTGCAAATGTAACCGGTTGTTTCTTGGCTACTTCCGACATAATATCTCTTGCTGAGGACTATAAAATTAAAAAATAACTCTGTGTTCAAAAGGATAGAAAAAAGGCCTTTTTCATTTAATCAAAATATCGAAAATTGTCATCTTAAAAAACAGATCAACAATATGATCATCAACTGGCAACTCGGGAAAAATTAGATGACATTCAACAAACGAATGGATATTAAGAACCAGAATTTCTTTCGAGAAAGGGAAAAAAAGGAAAATGTTAGAATTTTTACAATTTTCACGAATATTAGAATTTTTTTACAAAATTTTATGAATGTTTTTAAGAAACTAAATAATTTGAATTATTTTAATATTTCTTTTACAGATGGTAATTATTTTGATCATTTTGGTATTAACATAATATGGAATGAAAGTTGATATTTTAAAATTTGGTCATTTTTTTCCTCTTTTATTAAAGGAAAATAAAAGAAAGTGAATTTTGCAATATTTTGGAAAATTAAAATTTTGCATACAATAGGAAGTAAAAAAAATGAATATTGAAAAGAAGACTAAAAAATGGAAAAATTTAAGATGTGTCAAATTTAATGACCTATTCATAATTTGTTAAGAACTATAATAAAAAGTTATTTGTATACGAAAAAAATATCTCGCTAACCTGTCACATATGAATTAAAATTCAAATTGCG